TTGGAGTTGAAGGTATTTTTTTTAGAAATACTAAATTCGGAAACGGAATTCGTATTTCGGATAAAAAAAACAACTACCACTCCAATATTAACAAAGGTATTTTGCTTTTTAACTTTTTCATAACGAATGTTCGTAAAGTTACGAAAATATAACCGCCACTAACGAAAATTCGTATTTCGTACGAATCCGAATTGAGTTCAGTTACGAATTACGAAATACGAAATAACGGATATTCCGAAACGAAACAGAACAAATTTTTTGACGGCGCACAAGTCTAATCAGCGCTTTAAAGTTTCAAACTGAAGTGGCTGTCACTTGCTTGCTGGGGAACTCGCAGCAGCCTTCTTGGGAACCACACGGTGCCTGTTTACAGAGCTTCCTTTAGCCACACATATTCCCTCTCCTGACCCTCTGCACCACTCCTGAGATCATCTGCCCGAGACATCAGACCGGCACCCCAGAGCAGAGCAGCAGCACAAAGAATGCAGCAAATTCATATACTATTATTCTGCATTGCTGTATAATGTATTGCTTGGATTTGTAGTCCAATACAGCTTAGAGTCAGTGGCAGAACTACCAGGGGCACACCAGTTGCAGTTGCCATGCTCCACCACTGTCCTAAAATCCTGTGTAATACACTACATATCTGTGTAATATACTATATACACACATAGGTATGTAGTGTATTACACAGGTATGTAGTGTATTACACAGGTGTTGCTGTGGTCCGCCTATGTATGGAATTGGTGGTATTGTACCAGTGTTGCTGGAGAACTCTGAGCGCCTATATTGTTGCAAGCTTGTGTATCAACTGTAGCCCTCCTGTACTTAGCAGCAACTGGCCCTGCCCCTCGATTGCACTTCAGTGTTTGGCGCCGCACCTCGATTGCACCTCCATGTTTGGCCCCACCCCTCGATTGGGGGCAGGGCCTTCGGGGTCACATGATTGGGCTGCTCAGTCTAAAATGGCCAGGCCTATTTTTTGTCCCAGTCCGGCCCTGCTTACTTGTATGTATAAAATTAGCTTATCACAGTAAACATCCTGCAGAGAAATCTTTGGGCTGTCTCCTGAGGTCAGCAGTGGCGTAGTGTAGGGAGTAGGCTGGGAGGTACTTGCCTCAGACACTGGTATGAAGGGGGCCGTCGGCAGGGCCGAATTTCCCAGGGAGCAGAGGGGCGGTAGGGATTCCTATTGCCCATGATATACTGTCAGGATGCAGAGCAGAGAACGTTCGTTCTCTGCTCTGCTCGGTGTAGACAGTGATAAGTGAGAACTGCACTCACAGCCCTTTCCTTCTTAGCTGTCAAAGGAATTCTAGCACAGTGCTGTGCTATAACTCCTGTATTGGAGGTGACAGGTTCAATAAAGAGAACCTGTCACCTCTAAATGCTATCACACAGGGGCTTGTTATCTCCTGTGTGATAGCAATAAAGTTAAGTTAAACAAATTAAAAAATAAATTAAAAAAATAAAATAATTGATAAGTAAAAAATAATAATTACTGTTAAAATACATCTAAACCTGTTTTGAAGCAGTAAAGCAAAAAATCTAATTAAAAATGGATACAAAAATTAGAGTAAAAAAACTTTAAAAAAGTGATAAAGTAAAAACAATAAAGAAAATAAATTAGAGGTGCATCGAAATGACAATGTCAAAACTGAAACAAATAAAAAATGAAATATTTAATTTAAATTTTTTTTTTTTTACATTTTATTTTTATTTAAAAGAAAAAAGAGAAACAAGGGATGCACTGCTATTTCCGTCGAAAGATAGCACTTTCGGCATTTTGCAAAAAGTGCTATTTTCGGACGATATGTTTTATGGCCGACATTTTGGTGCATCCCTAATGAAAACTAACCCTGCTGCCCCCACCACCTGGTTGCCATTCTCCATTGGGGAGACGAGGCGCATAGAGGAACCTGGCCTTTGGGTAGCAGAGAGAAAAAAACAGCCCTGGGCACCAGTCTGAAGGGGGCACCACTGGAAACCGCTCGCTCCGCTGCTCTGCCAGGCCTGCCACACTGAACTATCATGGCAGGAAAGCAGTGCCTGCACTAGGCTCAGAAAAGTTAGGCAGCCGCCTCAGCACATGCTGGGTCCTCGCAGCTCTCTAGTTTTTGTGTTTACAGAGCTGAAGGTTCGGCAGCAGCGACAGGAGGAATGCAGAAGAGTTGAGCTTTGTTCCTAAAAGTCACTGGCCTGATAAGTCAATTGTGTGTGTGTGGTTGGCAGTGGAAGAGCCAGTGGGGGTCAGTGGGCACAGAGATGGTGGTGGAGGAGGAGAGAGGTGGCACAGTGGCAGGGGGAGAGCCGGGGGATCAGTGGATACATAGGCTGTGTGGGGAGAAGAGAGACGTGGGCACAGTGACAAGTAGATAGCCACCTTTTTTGTGATCACCATCAAGGTATTTAAAATATAAAATAAAGAATTTATAAAAAAGTAGATGGCCACCCAAGGCTAACATTGGTGGCAGCAGCAGGAGGATCGCAGGGTGAGAGGTTAGGTGAGCTCTATACCCCATATCTGGGATGAGAAGTCAAGTGAGTTCCCTACCCCAAACTGGGATGAGAAGTCAGATGAGCTTGTACTCTATAGCTGGGATGGGTGATCAGGTGAGGTCTGTACCCCATAACTGAGATGAGAAGTCAGGTGAGCTCTGTACCCCATAGCTGGGATTGAAGGTCAGGGGAGCTCTGTACCCCATAGCTGGGATTGGAAATCAGGTGAGCTCTGTACCCCATAGCTGAGATTAATGGGTCAGGTCAGTGGCAGATCCAGGGGGGAAGGATGGCAAAAAGGCAATTTTTGCAGGTGATGGGGGACATTTTCATGAATACCTAGGCGCAGCCCATCAATGAAGAGCAGGTGTGGGCCGTGTGCTACCAGTGTGCCCAGCAACTGGCCCAAAGCTCCCTGGTACTGTGGACCAGGGTACGGGACCCAGCACCAGTCCTCTACAGATTATGGTGTTCTGCATTGGTGTATAATGTATTTCTGAGATTTGTAGTCCTCTGTAGCTGGTGGTATTATTGCTGTATAATGTATTGCTTAGATTTTTAGTCCTCTATAGCTGGTGGTATTCTGCATTGCTGTATAATATATTTCTGGGATTTGTAGTCCTCTATACCAGGCCTTCTTAAACTTTTTCCAACCCCTTTTCAGCCGAGGAAATTTTTGCGTGACCCCAGTGTCGGATAGTGTCTCTCAGCCCCCCCCAGCGTTGGTTGGTGTCTCTCTCTTCCTCAATCCCCCTCCTAGCGTCAGTCAGTGTCTCTCTCTTCCTCAATCCCACTCCCAGCGTCGGTCCGTGTCTCTCTCTTCCTCAATCAGTGTCTCTCTCCTCCTTTCCCAGCTAATTGCTGATTCCTGCTGTCTGTGAAATGGTAAATGACTATTATGCTCTTCAGGGATCTTTGACAAGGCTTAGCACTGTGCCCTGCAATCAGATAACAGGATTGGGTGCCAGGAGATAAAGCTGCCATATTCTTTCCAGAACCCCAGGGTGAATTAATTTAACTCCTTCACTGCTGCAGACCTGCACTGGCAGTCTTAAGACAATGCTAAGCCCCAGCTTCACATTGCAAAGGATCCATGTGTACTGGTGCACCTCAGACACAAACGTCTTCATTTTAAGCTCAGGACAAATCCCAGTCGTGTGAACTACACTCAGAAAAAACATTGAAATCTACAGGAATGTGTTTGTGGACCAGACAGAAAACATTCCGGTCTGTAGATGTTGCATAAAACTTACTTTTACCCTCCAGCAGCTGTGCTCTGCTTCTGGCAGGTTACAGAAAGCTCCGCCGTCTGAAAAGAAAAAAAAACCTTCCTGCACACACGTGGTCAGGAAGGTATCAAGGTATCAAGTGCACAGGGGGGCCCGGGACCACAATAATTACACTGCACATATGAAACTATAATACAAAAATCTTGCTTGGAGCCCGGCCCTCCCAGGCTCCTCACACAAGTGCTGTGCATACCCCCCTGATGGCAGCCCTGGCTGGGGATTCGAATTGCGACCCCCCATATGGGGTCGCGACCCACAGTTTAAGATGCCTTGCTCTATACAGTGTCAGATCTACCAGGGTCACAGCAGTTGCGGCTGTGATGCGGCCCTAGCTTTTCACCACTTGGGGGGCCCCCCTTCTAGCAGTCTGTGGCCCTCCATCCTTCATGGATCGTGTGTATCATGAGTGAACTATGGTTTCGCTTGTGGGGGAGCGCTAATGAAAGACTTGCCCCCGGATGTCTTGTGACCTTGCTACGCCTCTGGAGGTCAGACACACACAGGAAATGGTTCTATTGAAGTTTATAGGGATTGGCTGCACTGGTGTGGCCAGTGCAAAGAAGGTTTCACTGTAGTATGTAAAGATTCTAGCAGGTCATTGGATACTAGTAACTATACAGTACAGGGTATCACGGGTCACTGTTTTACATTCCTTGTAATCAGGCAAATATAATATATTTAAAGTAAATGTCTCACTCTTTATACAGACTGCCAATAAGCATGCAGCCAGGGCCGGGCTTTTGTTTTAGAAAGCCCAGCATGCCTTTCAAATCTTGCGTCATGCATTTAGACAAATATTAAAAAAATATTAGTGTATAACATTGTAAACTATACAACATTAAAATAAAGTTGATGAAAACTATCATTATAGTAGAATTTGTCTTTTACCTTCCTAAAACCAAAAAAGGTGATTCATCTGTGCATCTGTCTATTGGTTCTAGTGTGCCTTAACTATGCTGAAACCACCCTTATTTTCCAAGTGATGTTGCCAAAAAATGTTACAAGGCAAATATTGGCTGGATTAACATTTATTGATCGACCTCTCAAATAATTCTGCAATGACACACTATCCTTTTTTGCCAGCATCAGGATTCATTTCTTTTTTTACAGTACAACAGATCTCAGTTGATACCATTCATCAGCTTAATTAAATATATTTTATCCGCAAGGATTTTTAACTCAACTTTCTAAAAATTAACTTCTTTGACGAAAATGATCCGGCGTATACATTTTTCAGTACAGCGGAGGTTTAAGTTGATGGTGCTATCCCTCCTATTCCTTACCTTTGCCATGCATTTTGCTTTGGACATTTTCTCTCTTTCTACAACAGCTTCTTGTCCATGTCCATCTCAGAACCACCCCAGAGCCAAAACACATTTGGTCCGGAAGATGCCAATTGCGAGGACACTGCAAGATTTTAGTGGCAGTAATGGATCTTCAGTGGACACAAGCCAGATGTTGAAGACTTCAGAAATAAACCAGAATATTCAAAAAAAAGCAACAAAAGGATATCAAGGATCGAAGTTGGCTTCACTTTTCCAGCACCCACTTTACAACACCCTAATGCCTGTTATCAAAGAGGAGGACAAGCTATTCAGAGTTAACACAGAGGAAAGATTTACCTTGAAAAGCAGTGGAAGTGAAGAATGGTAAGTTGTCATTGTAAGTTAACTATTAGTAAATAATTATACAGTTCCAATTATTCAAAACTTGTGTGATTCAGTTAATGCGTGACCCCTACATTTGACATAAAAATACTTTACAATGTTTGTAGCACACTTACAGCGGCCATACAGTGCACATACACATCCTAACTTTTGGATAAATTAGACAAATTTAAGCTACCCTTAGACATAAGATAACCTCTGATCCAGCAGTTTGCTCATGTCTATAGTTCCTCTCCACCACTGTGGACAGCCTGTTATTAGAGCGGAACAATCATTCAGGTCAGGAAACATGTCCCAGCCGCTATTTCTGACCTGTCTGCCTGCACCACTCATCTTCTCTCTCCTCTATATTTATTTAAACTTATTTGATCTAATGGATCAATCTTGCAAGAGTATGGAGCACTCTGCAGTGCTGGGGAGATATGCTGCTCTGAGGACAGTAGGACTGTACTTGCATATCTTACGGCATATTATGTCTTTGGGTAGCCTTAGACTTTGCCAGTACATTATTCATCAATGCATACCTTACTTCAATTTTAGGGCAAGCAAATATCCACATTACTGTAAGTCTTCACTTTTTATTACTTTGAAATTACATTGAAACTAGGGATGTTCAGATACCATTATCTGTATTGGTGCTGATATTTGGCATTCTCACGAGAACTACCAGGGTGGCAGCGGTTGCAGCTGCGACTAGGCTCTGGCGCTCCACCACTGTCCTGAAATCATTAGTCTGTATTGGTTTAGTGTCGCATGACACTAAAAAAAAGGTATCAGTAATTGGTATCTGTGAGTACTTGGATAAGTATCGGTACTTGTACTTGGTCTGGAAAAAATTGTATCGGTGCATCCCTAAAATATATATTCCTAGGAACCCCGTAGCCGATGCTCCTTAAAATGACAGCTGCCTCCTAACTTTTACATTTTTCTCTAGTCTAGTATTTTAATGGAACTGGAAAAGTATCAATACTTGTACTTGTACCAGTACGGTACTTGATATCCGTGCATCCCTAATTGAAACCCATTTGTAAGCACAAACTATCTGCTCCAGTTACTTAAGCACCTTACCAAACTACTCAGAATGAAGCACTATCATACTTTTAATACACATACAGTCATTAATAAATTTACTGGTACCTTGACACGAAAAAAGAATCATCTACATTTTTTTTCTGAAATAACTTAAAACTGACAAAAGTGATTGGCATCCTTCATTGTTTATTCCATATTTAATAAAATTAAAAAAAAACAGACTTTGCTCTTGTTTTTGATACAACAGAATATTTCAAATAATAAAACAAATGTGGAATGGACAAAAGTTACCATCAAGGATCATAGATGACCATTTCAGAATAGACCAATGTTTTGCTTTTAGCCATTCTTGGTGCTTTTAGCTATGTATTTTGGGTCATGATCTTGTTGGCGGACCCATGACCTGCAACTGAGAAAGTGCTGTCTGACACTGGGGGGTATGTTTCACTTCTAAATTCCTTGATAGGCTTGAGATTTAATTTTGCCCTGTACAAATTCAAGGCACCTCATGCCACATGCAGCAAAGCAGCCCCAAAACATAATTGAGCCTCCTCCATATTTCACAATAGGCATGGTGTTCAGTTGTAGCTTTATATTTTCATCTGTGCAAATAGAGCTGATGATAAAGCTGATGTGACTTGCCAAAAAGCTACAGTTGTGTCTGATGTGTCCAAAGAACATTCTCCCAGAAGCATTGTTGCTTGTCAATATGCATTTTTTCAAATTCCAGTCTGGTTTTGTGTGTTTTTCTTTTAACGGTGGTGTCCTTCTGGGTCTTCATACTTTGAGTCCACTGTCATTCAAATAGACACTTAATACCTTGACCTTGGAGTTCAACTTGTATCTCTTTGGAAGCGAATTGGTTCTTTGTCTACTATTCGCACTGTGTTTCTGTACAATCTTGGGCCAATTTTGCTCTTACAGCCAAGTCCAGAGAGGTTGGATACACTATCATGGACCTTAAACTTCTTAATATTTGCAACATTAAGCTTGGAGATGGTCTTGTAGCCTTTACCTTTGACATGCTAGTCTACAGTTTCTTTCTGATCACCTCAGACATATCTATCCTTTGCTTTCTTTGGTCCAAATTCACTGTGCTGCACATGAACATACCAAACAGCATAGTGACTAAAACCAGTTTGAAATATCACTATGATCCATTCATTTATAATTCATTTTGGAATATCTTTGTAGAAAAGAATATTGTTTTCTTTTCACCCTTTCTTTGTTCTACTTTATAACATACTGATGGCATGCAGGTATACATGAGACAATTACTTTTAATTACCTCACTTTTCAGGAGGTATGTAGCATTGTTTCAAATGAGCTGTAAGGGTACCAACAAATGTGTCCACTTCTGCAATATTATATATAGGATGATAAATCATCTTTACACCATCTGGAAACCTTCAGAACAAATTGGGCTTATCTAATAGGACAAAGCAATGTGCATAATGTAGTAAACTATAACAACTTAAAACAAGTCAGCTTCTCCTGATCTGATTACAGTAAAAGGATATCTGCGTGGTTGATATGGGTTATGCAGGTCGTGTATAATAATAGTTGTAGAGGTACTAGAAGGCAATTTCGTTTTTTAATTATAGATTTTGATTTAGAGTGGAAAAAGCTTAATGCTTCTGTCCGTTTTATTACTTCCTGTATCCCTGTTTGGGAGAATAATCCTAACTTCCTGTCCCAGAGATACTCCAGCTGGTTCAGGGAGTGAGTGGTAATAATCCCAGGGTAACCTTTGATATAAAAAAAAATTATATTTTTGTGGCTGTCCGAGTCCCTGTTGGGTGAGACTGTCCCTCATTTCTGGTACTGGTGACAACTGTCATCAAAAAATGCAATAACAAAAATGAGTGAAAGTCTATCCCTGTCTCCCTCTACGAGACAAGGCTACTAAATTTAAACATGTTCACATTGGAGGTGAGGAGATGTACAAGAGTACAAAATGTTCAATGGTGGTAGCAACATTAGCGATAAACTGTTTAAAATTAACTCCATTACAAAAACTAGAGGCCACCACCTAAAATTGGTGGAAAAAGAAATTCCAGCACAAAGGGCGAAGGGGGTTCTTCACAGTAAGATCAGTTAGGGTCTGGAACTCACTGCCACAGGCAGTGATTTCAGCAAATAATGTGGAATTGTTCAAGAAACTTTTGGACGATTTCTTAAGGGACCGTAATATACAGGGGTACAGGTACTCCTAGAATTAGATCCTAATAGGTTGGACTTGATGGACTAATGTCTTTATTCAACCTCAAATACTATGTAACTATGTAACTATGTCTCTCTATCCAAAACTTTACAAGGGCACCTTCCCTTAGCATTGAGAATGAGGTGAAGTTCTGCTGGAAGTTCCATCATCAAAATACGCGCAAGCAAAAAATACTGTTTTTTTTTTTTTTACATTTCTTTTTAAAGTGAAATTTCACCATATTCACTATTCACTCAGCTAAGGGATATTTATCTTGCAAAGTAAACAGCTTATTTGCCTGTAGTAAATCATCCATGTTTGTCCTCATGACCATTGTCATAAGGACATAAAATGAGCAATAATCCAAAATTTTGAGTTGTGATTAGAGCAGCCATGCAGGGGTAATCTTCCAATGGGAACAATTTTTCAGGTGACAGCTGTGATGGATTTCCCTGACTTTAAAGAGATTTCCTCTTACTCCTTCTTGTGTGTAAAGAGAAGGGAAGTCTTTCAGATTTAACAAAAACAAAACCTCCTGAGGGGGATTTTTACCATTCCATATGCTATCCAAAAATATAAAACAATTGTAGCCATGTAAGTCTAAGGAAAAATAGCCAGCATGATATTTATGCAACGTGGAGGCTGTGGTACAATAAGAGCAGTGCCAGTCTTAACGTGGCCATACACTGTGCAAATTTCCACCGGTTCTTCAGGAACCGGCCAAAATTCGCAATGTGGGTGCTGCTGTCGGCACCCCTTTGGCCAGCATTTCTTGATCAGCTTATTGAAGGAGCAGGTCATAAAATTTTTGTATGAACAGAGCCGGCAGCCAATGAGATGCTGGCTCTGTTCAGGTATTCTGACTATGGACAGCGGCCGCTGTCAGCATACAAAAGAAACAGCAGGGATTCCTCAATCAATGCGCTCGTAGTGTTTATGGAGGAATCGGCTCTATTTATTTTTTTTGTTTAGCCCGAAAGTTTAGATAAAACACAAACAAGGGGCGCCTTTCCTGGTGCAGACAAATTTATTAAAATCAGAATAGAAGGTAAATATAAAACATACTCACAAAATTCATGATAGAAGTATAAAAAGTATATAAGTTAAGTCCATGGACCCAAGGATGCTGCCCCCGGCTGATTTGGGGCAGCATCCTACAGACACACATTTTTTAAACGTGTTTTTAAACGTGTTTTTTTTTTTACCCATTCACCAATTTTTTATTTAATCATCAATTTCCAAACAGACTTTGATTCTAATTTTATTCATGTGTACATTGAATTGTACTGGTTGAGCAGTCCTCTCTGGCGCTTTTTTGTTTTTTTCCGAAAGTTTAGTTAGTCTAGTTTAGAAACAGGCAGGTGTAAATGTGTGGACACCAATGAAGAAGCAGGATGTAACCCTAAATACATTTTTGTAATCATTATCATTGCTTTTAATATGACTGTGTCCTACTTGATTACAGATGGCAAATTATACAAAAAGATGAGTAGTAATAAAATCAGATATGTCAGGACAACATTTTTGTTCTGTTGGCAATTTGCAGTATACATAAAGTTCTTCAATAAATAAATATAATTTTTTGTTAACCAAGATTATAACATCAAATTGTTACAATATACAAAAAACAATGCCAAGGTCAGGAAGCAGCTGTGTTAAATCAGTGATTTTGCTTTTCTGCCACACACTGCAGAGTTTGCAGAAACTTGATACTTGATCTTTAAGGCTCATGCATACTATGTCTGGC